AACTTATCAACCAATTGCAATATATAAACTTTACTTAGGACCCTGACTTAAACAAAACAGATGCTGCCTGAGATGTTAAGTTTGAGACAGATCTGGAAAATATTAAGTCTGACTACACATATGATGATATAAAGGAATTGCCATTATGTTAGGTGTGATAATAGCAATACATTTATGGTTTTTAAATTTCTCATCTTTTTGGAGATCTATACTGTAATATTTATGGTAAAATGACATGGTTAGGATTTGTTTCAATATAATCTAGTGGTTGCCCTGGCTGGGTGGCTCAACTGGGTTGATGTGTCGCCCCATACACCAAAAAGTTGTGGGTTTGATCAGGGCATATTCCTAGGTTGTGGATTCAATCCCAGGTCAGGGTGCATAAAGGATGCAACCGATGGATGTTTCTCCCTCCCTCCCTTCCTCCATCCCTCTCTCAAAACACTGAAACAGCCCTGACTAGTGTGGCTCAGTGGACTGAGCACTGGCCTGCGGACCAAAAGGCTGCCAGTTCAATTCCCAGTCAGGGCACATGCCTGGGTTGCAGGCCAGGTCCCCAGTCGGGAGTGTTCGCAAGGCAACCAATTGATGTTTCTCTCACACACTGATGTTTCTCTCCCTCTTTCTCTTTCCTTTCCCCTCTCTCTAAAACTTAAATAATTTTTTAAAAATCAAAACATATCCTTGGGTGAGAATTAAAAAATAAAAAAATAATAATAATCGAGTGGAGGTGGACATATGACAACACAGGTTTGGCTAACAGTTGATAAATGATGAGGCAAGGGTAATACATACATGGTGGTTCATTTCCCATAATAAAAAACTAAACAAAAATTATGGTGCAGCCACTGACATAGTATTCTGTTTAAAATAACCATTAAGACAGTTTAACAACTAGCCCTGGCTAGACAACTCAGCTGGTTAGAGCAGCGTCCTGATACACTAAGCTTGGGGGTTTGAGTCCCAGGCCAGGGCAAAACAATCAACCAATGAATGCATAAATGAGTAGAAGAACAATTTGATGTTTCTCTCTCTCTCTCTCTCTCTCTCTCTCAAATCAATAAATAAAAAAATAAATTTAAAAAGACAATTTAACAACTTGAAGGGATGCTTACTATATAATGCTAAATGAAGAAACAAACATACCTATGTCAAAATCTTAAAAGCTTAACATTAAAGAAGAAAAAGAAATAGAAAAACCAAACTGAATTTGTCCATTAGTTTTATCTGTTAGTGTTACACTATAATCTGACTTTAGCAGTAGACAGGTAATTTAAACTACCTAAGAAAGCTGGGTATAAAATAGTGGAGGAGCTTAGAGTAAATTAGGGAATGCATTGTTCACCTTAAAGGCCTTCAGTTTCAAATAAATACTATGATACATAAAATCTGTTTAACTTGATATTCAAATATCCTCATTTTTAGGGTCATTTATCAGCTAAAGCAACCTACAGTGAAGAACAAAAGGAGGAAGAAGTAACCATCAAAGCAGGATGAGACAGGAAAACCAAATCCACTGGCCACCCTATTCACTTTACATATATATAAACTGAGACAAAGTTTGTTTGCTTGTTTGTGCTTAAGTCAACTGCCTAAAGTGAAAATGAATTAGCCTCAGAAGAACTAGAGACTGGAGCTCAGAGAGGTACAGATTCACCCAAACTGACAGTGCTAATTGGAGGCCAGCACTAGAACCCAAGTGCCCTGACAACTGTCCAGATTTACCTACTATTTAGTACCACTTTCCTTTCTGTTTTTTAATTAGTTGTGTCCTACTCCTTTTTTTCCATAAAGAATTTCCTCAAAAATGTGTTATTCGCCCTGGCTGGGTAGCTCAGAATGTCGTTCTGATATCCTGACCAATACGTCGGCCAATGCTGCCGGTGTAATCCCTGGTGAGGGTCCATATAAGAAACAATCACTGAATGCATAAATAAGTGGAACAAAAACATTACTCTCTCTCCCTCTCTCCTCTCTCAACTCTATAAATAAAATTTAAAGAAAGAGGTAAAGTGAAAAAAAAATGTGTTCTTCAATCAACTAACTCTAAAATTAAGGCGAAAAAAATACAGTGACAGGAAAGGGATGAATGTCAAAGGCCTGACAAAAGCAGACTCTTGGTCAACCCACATACAGAAGAAATCCTGTAACCTAGGATCAAATGCTTTCTACTCGGTGAACAACTCTTCCAACCTTTAAAAGCATTTGTCTACCATGCAGAATGTTAGAATAAAGTAATTAATAAAAGCAGCAACTGGCCTTTTTTTTTAGACTGAAGAAAAGTACACACAGGGACATGCTTAGTAGTCTCCCAAATGTTAATTTTTTTTCCTGATTACCACTGAATGGGCAAGAACCAAGACTTCACAGCCTACTCTGCATTCCGATATACAGCTAAGGCAAGCAGGGGCAGCCTCCAGGCAGAAGGCTCCAAGGTTATCAGCTGGGTAAAAACCCGCTCGGCTCGAAGACCCGTAGCCCTTGGATCACCCCAGACTGCTACTGAAGTCGAGATAAGCAATAAATTTCAGAAATATGCAATTTTTACTTACTACTTAAAAAAATATTTGCCAGCCCAACTAACTTCTTAACATGAAAGTAGTAGTATAGGTTTTTTGGATTCAGATCAACCTATATTTGAAGCTTTACTTTGTCACTTATAAGCTAAATGACTATCCAAATTAAATGAACCAGAGTCTCCTCCTATATAAACAACAGTACTACGAGTTATAAAGACTAAATAAAGCATGTGGTACAATGCCTGATACATAATAGGCACTCAGTAGGAAGCTCTTATTTCTACCTAAAGATTTAACTCAATGACCAATTCAAATAGGCTACAAACCATTTTTAAAGCTACTGATGACTATAGTCTTGGTCTTGGTAGTCTATAAAGGGTAGTTCCTGGATCATCGGCTAACCCCAAAAGTGTACGTGAAAGTATGCAATCAAGACAAGCACAGATTACAATATACTGGCACTTTCATTTTTCCAAATTATATTCAATTATGAAAAAGGAATACCTAGTTAGTTAATCAAGCCCTGGTCCAGTAATAATTCCTTGAAGCGCTGAATTTAAAAAACCCCGTGTGTTTAACTTCCTCATCACTTCTACAACTGGTGCCTCCCAGGAAAATTAATAGAAGGCAGAAACTGTGCCCAATACATAGACAGACATACCTCAGAGACACTGTCGCTCAGTTGCTGCCCACTGTAATAGAGTATCACAATAAAGCCAGTCCTAATGTGGTGACTGGCGGAGAGTTTTTGCCCTCAGCTTGTAAGCAATACCTGTGAAAAGCGCAATGAACCACGAATACATGGGAGGGTGTCTCACATACAGATGTGGCTCAATAAATATTTGTTGAATGAAAACTTGTTTCCCTTAATGGCATTTTAAAAATTACTTCATTATTAACCTTTTACATTTTAATGAAAGTATTAAAAAGTAAAAGGTTAACAATAGCAATAAAAAACAGAAGAAATTGCTGTTTATAAGGAACACTGTTAGCAAAATAGATGAGAACTCAAAATATAAATTGCAAATCTCTAACAAAGAAAATTAAAAAAAATAAAACACCAACACATGAACACCTCAAAACGGGAAACCACCATCCATTCCATTTCTAGAAACAACTTACCTTTTTGCACCTTCCTTTTGCAGATTTGAAATCCAGATTCTCACACAATCACCGGCCTTCATTTCTGTTTGATTCAATAGCATACACACTACTAAGTCTCTCTTTCACTATTAAGTATATCAGTAAAAACCCCAATGGTCTTATGCTGCTTTCTAACTATGAAAACAAAAGTGCAAAAGTCCTAAGTCAGCATTTAAAAAAAAAAAACTTTTTCAGAAATTGAGATTAAACAATGTGCATAAATAATTCTAAAGGCTCCCCCCCATCTTTTCGCCCCAAACATCATACTTCGAAATGTAATTTTAAATAGTTTTCCCCTAAGTGGAAAAGAACTCTTGTGCCTTGACGGGCGGGCAAGGAGTTGAAAGTAAAACATGCTAAAAAAAAAAGCTCTTTCCAAACAGGTGAGATACCCCCAGCGTGTGTGTGCTGTTGCAGGAAACAGAACGGAGAGCCGTGAATGGGAGTCTGCACTTCATATCTGCAAAAGAAGAGTAAAAAGGTTAATTGAACTCTAGACTTAGACTACCTTCTTTACCTGTTTAAAGCAATGCTTATAAAAACATTCGTTAAAAGATGAAAAAGTGCTAAGACAGAGAGGTTTGGGGATGAACTGCACCTTCCTGCCCTTGCTACAGAAATCCAAACTAGAGCTACACTATTATACGTCGGTATTCGAACACTTCCATACCTCACCATCTTGATATTCACGGTATTTAAAAAATCCGACCTTTTCTTTAGACTTTCCTTAAAACTATCGTCATAATTTGCGAAATGTGTTTCCTGTTGAACAATTATCTATGCAGAATTAGTGCTAACAGTTCAGAATGACCGTCAAAAGGCTCGTTTTAAATAAACCCTCTTCCCCTGTAAGGAGCGACAGGGAACCTTTTGGGAACCCCAGCGCGCACATCCCTTTCTCCAACCTCATTAAAGGTTAATTTGAGAACAGAAGTGCCTCGCAAGCAATCTCTCCAGCCCAGCACCCCGTTCTCCGCAAAAACCCTGCGTGTTCTGCGTTCGCCACCCCCTCCCTCGCCCCAGTGCGGGTGAGTCGCGCAGAGGGAGACCCGAGGTGCGCGGTGAGATCGGCGAGCCGGCCGTGCACCCGCACCCTCCCCCCCGGCTCCGAGTCACACCTGCGCCCGCGGGCGCTCACCTGGGGCCGGGACCGCCCCCTCCCGGCCCCGCGCGCTTGCCCCACTCGGAACGCGCGCCACGCGGGACCCGAGGGCGGCGCGGGCAGCGGGACCCCGGGGTGGAGGCAGGCGGGGGCGAAGGGGCCGCCCTGGCACACACCCTCCGTGGGGACCGAGGAACCGGGGAGCCCAAGGGGCGTGGTGGGGGTGGGCGAGGTACCTTTTGGACAGATCCATGAGAACCCCGGAGAAGAGCTTCTCCCCTAGACGGAAAGACACGACGAGCGCGTCCTCGATGATGTGGTCCAGCGTGACCCGCACCTCCGAGCCGGGGATGAGTTGCGACACGGCGGAGTCCCCGCCCGCGGGCGGCACGAGCGCCGGGGTTGCGGGCTGGGGCAGCGGCGGCTCCTGGCGCTCCTCGGGAGCCGGGGGCTGCTCGGGCGGCGGTGCTGGGGAAGGTGGAAGGTCGGGCCCTTCCTGAGGGGAGGCTACAGCAGGTTCCACCGCCCGGGCGGGCAGCTTCTCCTCAGCCTCCAGCTCCGGCCCCGCTGCCTCCGGGCTGCGGGCGAGCTCCCGCGGCGGCGAGAGCAGAGGCTCGTCGGCCTGAGGGGAGGACTGCTTCCCGTCGGCCTCGCCGTCCGGCACAGATGCTTCTGTAGCCGTGACCGGGAGGGTGTCAGTACCGGCCTCGGTGCCGGGGATGGGCTCCATCTCCGGCTCGGCCTCGCCGGCGCCCCCCTCCCCGGGGGACGCTGCTGTCGCTGCCGCCTCTGCAGCCACGGCCGCCATTTTCTTCCTGGCTTCTCCCTCCTCCAACTCCGGCTGCAGCGGCGGTGGCGGCAGCGCTGCTTGGTTCCCTGGGCCTTCCCCTCCCTCCCGCGAACAGTTTCGTCCCGCCCTTTCACTGATGCTCGTTATTGGCACCGCGCCATTGGTTCCATCCTACACTCCTCCCTCACTTGTGATATTCCATTGGCCAGATCCGGACGTCTATTTTCCAGTCAGTCCATCCCTCCCATGCAGAGTAGGAACTTCTCATTGGCCAGATGAGTTGTCAAATGTCGGATCAGTGCAGGAGTGAAGGGGCGGGCTTAGAGTGGGCGGGGAAGTCAAAAAGCTGAGCCATATACTTGTCGCTTCTCTCTATTGGCTGGAATAGGAAAGTAAGTTTTATGGTTGGTCTGCGTCCCTGTCCATTATCAGCCAGGCTTTCAGAGGAGGGAGAAAGGAGGGAAATCATGTGGCTCTCTGGCTCTTTCAAAGGCCACCGAGGGGAGGAGTAACAAGCGAATGCGGGAGGGAAACTGCTTCCCAAGAATCTCTGCGCAGAGGTCCTTAGAATAAATGTTATTTCTAGGCGCGGACCTGCTTGCGGCTGCTTGTGGACCTGACAAGTTTTCTTGGGAAGGACAACTAAAGTTTGAAAATAATTCTACAAACACTTTTTGAAAACCGTTTTTGAATTCTTTTTATGCCGGCACCGTGCTAGGTGCTGAGAATAAAAAGATGTGCAGGACATTCTCTATAACCTCACGGTAGCCGCTCCAGCCTCACACAGGAGAGTTTTCCTTGACTTCACTTTCTAGGAAGATGCTTATGAAAAGAGGAGAGGCAGCAGACACAATGGATTAAGCCAAGAATTTTTAACTTTCATCTCATGGCACACATAAACTAATTACTAAAATTCTGGGGCACACCAAAAGGTATATTTTGCAGCTCTAACAACAACAACAAAAGGTATAATTTCGATTCATTCCCACTAAATGGCTATTGTTCTGTTGGCTGTTGTCATTTTTTTAACTTGACAATCTTAAGGGAAAAGGGTCAGTACCCCTGACTAAATAGTCAGGTATTGCATGTTTTAAAAATTCTTGCAGTACGTCAGTGGAAAATCTCAGGATTAAGCTGATCAAAGTTCCAGAGAGCAGTCCCGAGGCCTTGCTGGGCTTCCACACTAGCACTGCCTGTTCTCTCAAAGGTCTCTGGAAAATAGGTACACCTGGTTTCTTGCTTACACGCTTTTTTCCTTCTTGGCCTCTCCCATGCCACCGATAAAAAAGTACCTCTCCTCAGTGTCATAAAGCTCCAACTTCTCTGTTCTTACTTTAAGTCTCGTGGTTTGCATGTCTGGAAGAAGCTACTGAATCCATTTCTCTCAAATTGCACTTTAGTCAGTGTACTGTCCAGAAGAGAGTGTAGTCACTGAGAATTCCTGCAAGAGGGAGAGAAGAAAAGTTGCCAGCATTAGGGATAGTAAAAAACAAAATTCTAAAGAATTACAGGTAACATGTGAATACCTACTAAGAACCAGGTGCTGTACAGACACTTAGGATACCATCTCATTTAATCTTTACAATATTCCTATGAGGCAGGTACTATCACTATACCCATTTTATAGATTAAGAAATTGAGGCACAAAGACATTGCCCAAGGTCACTCAGCTAGTAAGTTGCAGAGTCACAATTCCAGCTTTACAATAGAAGGGCAGAAAATAGCAAAAAGTAAACAGCACCATATGCTTTATTTCAAGCCATAGGATTCTTAGGAAAAGGCAGCAGGAAATCCCTGTAGGGTAGGTTCACTGTCTCCAGAGTAACCAAAGGAAATGAATTTACTGAGAGTCCACTCTGTGCCAAAGATTTTCCCGTAAGCCCTCATTTAAAATCCTGTGAGTTGTCTTCTTTCTCTTTTACAGGTAAAGAAACTGACCTTAGCCAGGGTAAGGATCTTTTTAAAGGTCACACAGATGGCTGGGAGCAAATCCTATCTAACCCAGGTCTTTCTAAGTGCATGATTGTTTCATTCATTCATTTACTGAAAAATCCTTTCTCTCCTGCAGTCCTTATGCCTGCGGTACACAGACACGCATCCCACCTTATAGGGTTTTCACCACGGTTACTTTGTATATAGTTCACCATTATCAATTAATTAAACATAACATACAGTTCTATGAGACTCCTAGACCCACACTGAGCTCCCGCATTGCATAATCTCCCACAGGGAGAAGAATGCAGTTCAGATCCTAAGACCTTATTACCTCTTATACTATAATTCATTGCAAGACACTGCAGTGAATTATTACAATTAAGCATTCATGGCAAATTGTGGTGTACCAAGCCACCTTCCTAAATCATGTTTTCATTCTGCAACTGAAGAGCTTCTCCTAGCTCCCTGCGTTCACATCGAGCGTACCCTCTTCTGCTTGTCAAGGCCCTCTGTGCTCTACTCTATCTTTCAAGGTCTGTTTTCTGCTACTCTTTGAGCTTCCTTTTACTGGAAAGATCTGGTTATAAATTTTTTCATCCATTGATTCAACAAATAAATATTGAAGGCCTAATATGTGTCAGTTACTGGGCTAGGGAGGCAGAAGCCATGCAGAAGAAAACATGAAAGACTTAGTGCCTGGCCTTCTGGGACTTATTTTTCTGGTTAGGATGTTAGAAAATAAGAAAGAAACAAGATGACTACAGATTGTGAGCAATGCCTTAAAAGAAATAAACAGGGTGAGGTGATAGGGAATAGCTGGGGAGGGGAAGAGAGTGTCTACTTTAGATAAGGTGGTCAAAAAAGACTTAACTGAGGACATTTTAGCTAAAATACAAAGGATAAGAAGGAGCCAGCTACTGACATTGTTTGATGGATATGTGGGTCAAAAGGAACAGCAATTACAAAAGTCCTAAGGCAAAGAGGTCTTATTCCAGAAATGGAAAGGAGACCAATGCGATTGAAGAAAAACGGCAAGATAACTAGGTGAGATAAGATTGAAAAGGAAGACAGGAACTAAATCATATTTTATGCACTATGGATACAAAAACAAGAGGTTCTGCCCACAGGGTGTTCTAAATCTAGTGGGAACCCAGCTTCCATAGTGCTGTTGTATCCTGTCACTTCTGTATCCAGCCTCCCCCTGGCACAGAATCAGCAGAGAGGAGGCCTTTGGTATTTGTGGAATGGGCAGCCACATGGTGTTTGTTGCTCAATGGTTAGATGAATGGATGGAGGAGTGATTGGGTGGTTGTATGGTATCTTAGTCTGTTCTGGCTGCTAGTACAAAATACCACAGGCTTGGTGGCTTTTAAACAAAAGAAATTTATTTCTTTCTTTTTAAAGATTGTATTTATTTACTTTTAGAGAGATGGGAATGGAGGGAGAAAAAGAGGGAGAGAAACATCAATGTATGACAGACGCATGGATCAGTTGCCTCTCACACACCCTCAACCAGTGACCTGGCCCGCAACCTAAGCATGTACCCCAACTGGGAACCAAGCTGGCAAACTCTCAGTTTGCAGGCCAGGGCTCAGTCTTCTGAACCACACCAGCCAGGGCAGAAATTTATTTCTTACAGTTCTGGAGGCTGGAAGTACAAGATCAGGGCCCCAGCACGGTCCGATGAAGGCCCTCTTCCAGGCTGCAGACTTCTCTTGTGTACTCACACGGTGGGAAGGGGCAAGGGGGCTTTCTTGGGTCTCTTTTAGGACGGCATTAACCTCATTCACGAGGGCCCTGCCCTCATGACCTAATCACAATCCAAAGTTCCAGCCTCGTAATACTACCAATTTAGGGGTTAGGATTTCAACATATACATTTTGGAGGGACACAGACATTCAGACCATAGCAGGCGGATCGTTGGTTGATTGAACAGATCATTGAAGGGATGGATGGGTGGGTGGATGGGTGGATGGATGGATGGATGGCAGAGATAAGGAATCCAGCTGACTACTCCGACACATCCTCACTGTGGCCGGCAGACTTTGCTCTCAAGCTCTGTGGGCGATACTATAGTTTGGCGGCTAAACACTCAGAGAATGGAAATGAATGAACCTGTATGTTACTCCCAGGTGGCCTCTGACATGATCTTAGGCGAGTTGCTTAAACTTGGTTTCCTCATTTACAAACTAACTTAATAATAACTAACTTCCTATCAGGTGGGTGTGTTTATTTTTAAATTATGTAACATATATAACGTACTTAACATAGACCCTAAATCATCATAAGTGTAACTCAGTAATTGTTAGCAACCAGATCTAGAAATTCAGTCTCATCATTCATTGTATCTACGGTTGACCACAATCCAGGGCTCTGACTCCCAATAACCAAAGTTGTGAAAGACTAAGGAGGCTCCAGCTGGGTAGCTCAGTTGGTTAGGCAGTTGTCCAGATACACCAAGGGTACAGATTCAATCCCCAGTCAGGACACATATAAGAATCAACCAATGAATGCATAACTAAGTGGAACAACAAGTTGATGTTTCTCTTCCTCTCCCTCTTTTGTGGTCTCTCTGTCTCTCTCTTCAATAAATAAAATTAAAAAAAAAAAAACTAAGTAAAAACCCAAACACTGGGGTGTTGGTTCACAGAGAGGAATAAATATCGCTAATTGTAACTTAATGAGGTTTGGGGTTTTGTTTTGTTTTGATTTTTTTGAAAGAGCAAGAGAGAGAAAGGGTCTCTCTCTCTCTCTCAAGGCCAGAATCAAGATGCCAGCAGGGGCTGTGGTCTCATCTGGAAGCTCAACTAGAGAAGGGCCCGTTTCCAAGCTCAGTCACGTGATTCTTGTCAGGATTCGATTCCTTGGTGGCTATTGGCCAGACACTGCCCTCAACTCTTTGTCACTTGTGACTCGCCATAGAATAGTTCGCCAGTTACAGCTTGCTTCAGCAGCACCAGCGTAGAAGAGCCAGAGAGAAATAGCGCAAGAACGAGGCCACAGCGTTTTATAGCCTCAGCTCAGAAGAGGGATCCCCTCACTTGCACTTTATTCTGTTCAGAAGCAAGTCACTAGGTTCAGCCCAG